TTTACACTGTTGGAAAGCGAGTGAATTGAGCCCAAGTTGTCACATTTGTGTAAATCATTTTGTCAGCCTGTAATAGCACCATGTAATGGATTTGCATTAAACATTAAATTGATTTCAGAATTGGTGACACAGAATTCACTACAGTTAAGTGCTATGGAATAGCTTCAATGTTACCTGCTATATATCAAAGCAATTTTCATCCCACTGCTTTTTTTTTTTATTGGAAAAAAAATAAAAGGGAAACAGACATGACACTAATTAGACGAATGCACAGCCTTGGACGTGGAGAAGGCAGAGCGGGTTTACTGTCACCCAGTAAATACATGCATGGACTTCAGGACGGAACTGGCCTTGGGAGTTGATGTGAAGGAGAAGCTCTGCGTATCCCACACTGAAGACAGGGGGCATGTGGAGGTGCCGTTGCAGCTCTCCTCACATGACCAGGCCAGTTGTGGTGTAAAGTTGTTCTATGGAGGCCTGCTACCAGGAAAAAAGAAAAAAAGAGACGAGAGAGAGAGAGAGAGAGAGAGAGAAAGAGAGAGACAGAGAGAAACACCACCACCACGATGGAGACGAAGATTATTTCCAGAGATGTGATTCAAAGTACATTGAGTGATGACCTCAGAAACCAACCCCCTCAAGGAAAAAATAATCATATATTGTAGGGGAAGTAAAAAGTTTTTCTGAACTCAGATTCTGTCAAGACTCTGTGACACTGTACTACAGAATTCAACGCATAGAGTGATGAGGGCCGGGGAGGAGAGAGAGGAACTCTTTTTTGAGAGAGTCCCACGAGCTGACTGACCTGTCAAGGACAGGGGTCAGACAAGGATGAAAACCAGCAATCGGAAGAGTCGGGGTGAGGCGGGGTGGTCCCCACGCCTAGATGCATGTTTTTTTTTGGGGGGGGGGCTGACTCTCTGTCATTGTCAGGCCAGAGTGTGAAGAAACGGAAATGTTGGCCCGAACCTCCAAGGAAAGAGAAGGTTCTGAGAAGGACAGAGGGGCTTTCGGGAAAGGATGCTGGCCCCAGAATCACTAGAAAAGCAGCGTTATTGGTGTTGTGTGAAAGTGGAAGAGAGTTGGGGGCCAGGAAAACAAAAAAGATACAGGAAAAGAATCCGACTTAGTGTTTGTGCCTCTGACTTTAGTTCCCAAAGAAAAAAGATGGACAGTTTTTTTCTTTTTCTTCTTCTTTTTTTTTTTTTTGAGGGGCTTCTCTTGGCCAATCTTGTTAATGCCATTTGACAGGGCAAGAAAAAAATAACCCAATGTGTCTCAGACTCCAGGGCTGGGTCTTCCCAAGTGGCCCCTGCCCTCGTCTGTCTGTCTGTCAGTCTACACCCCAGGTAGCAAAGTCTTTCTCCAACATCTTCGCTTGGCTTCGATTAAACAACGGTAAACACTCCTACGGTTGGTGTTGCTTTTTTCCTGCTGGATCTCAACTGAACTAGAGTTTCCTGCTGCTTTCTGGACAATGAAACATGAACAGAAATGGAACTTAGTGTATTTAAGACTTAACCCCTGTTTGTGATCACCTTAGACTGCCTCCCTAATGTTTTAAAGCCTTTAAAACATTTTTTTCCTGCAAATCTGTTCAGAGTTCCCTAATTTTAGCTTCATCAAACTTAATACAACAAAATACCTTCAAAAATACAGCATACCTGTAACGTCCATTTACAATGGGTTTTCAGTAGTCCTATGCTTCTCAAGCATAGGAATATTCCATACCATTGAGACAAAAAAAAAACCTGTATTTAAATACTTACAAAACAAAACAAAACAAAAAAGGAAACAGGAAAGTTTTCAACTTAAATCCAGTTCCCAAAGGGCGGGGGGTTGGGGGGGGGGCAGGAAAGAAAGATAAGCAAGTCTATGAACGCTGCCTTTACAATGAACGATCAGAAATTTCACTAGGCTAATTTGACAGAAATTTTTCCTCATTTAAACAACAGTACAAAAGTCCTGCATTATAAAATAGGGTAGAATAAATCAGTGTAATCAATAAAACTATACAACAATACAAATTACATATCTTCTGAGTGGGCAGTTTATTCTCTCTCTTTGCAGTCAAGACTACAACATGCTCACTAAAAACAACTAAAACTGCCCAAACTATTGCTTAGTTTGTTTTGTTTTTAAAAAAGGGTGCAATTTTATTGTATATACAACCAATTTACTGGTAATACCTTGGCTTATTGCAAGGTTCTGACAAAATGTTTGTCTAGGCTTTTTTCCCTTCACTGTGAAGCACTGAAAGCTGCTATTTTTTTCTTTTTTTTTTTCCTTTTTTTAGTGCACATATGTCATAATAAAGTAATGCCCAGCTAAGTGCTATAGGGGAAGGCAAAGTATGCTGGCTGGCTATAGGAAGTGACACCATATACTGACAATCACACCATACAACAGCGCCCAACGACTATTCAACCACTATCAGACACGTATGAAAATCCAAAATGTTTTATTTTATTTTTTTTCCTTAAATAGAGATAACCAGTAAACAATTTTCAGAACTTGGAAGTTTAAAAACGTGCATATAAAAATGGGCATTATATACTTTTTATTGAATGTGGATTGACTGCAGTCTGCTAAGAAAAATGGGGTGTGGGAGCTGAAGAAAAAGGAAGTTGTCTTTTTTTTCTTTTTTTTTTTTAAGGCTTGCTTGTGAAAGGAACAGTTGTCAAAACAAAATTGCTTGAAGCAGGGTCAGCTTAGTGCTTCACAGTTTGACTGCTTCTCTAAGAGGAGCCCTTCCTGCGCACGTGCATTCAAAAATCACACACGAAAAAGTACAAAGACAAACACCTAAAACACACACTGCGCCAAGTGCAGCACCGACTTTGGTCAAATTAAAAAAAAAAAAAGAAAGAAAAGAAAACAAAAAAAAAAAAAAGAAAAGGAAAAGGAATCATTGCTAAGCTTTTTTCTACACGATATAAGCAGGTATTGCATATTTTCATATATCTGGGGTGGGGTGGGGGAGAATAAAGGAAGACTCCAAATAAATCGTAAAATGCAGCAACATCCAAAATACTGATATTCTAAGCATCTACAGATCTCAGAATAGCACTGCCACTGACCACAGAGGACAATAAGGACTACTCCTATCTGCGGAACGACTAACTTTCTATTTAGTTCTAGATGTTGAAACTGACGATGGCTGACATAAAAGTCACATTTACAAAAAGTGTCTCCAAATGCTTGACGAGGGAAAAACCCCTTTCAATTGAGGAGCATGTGCAACAATTCCACAAATAATCGCTATCCAGGGCAAGGCACATTGATATGGAATTTTTGTCTTCGTGCAAATTAAGGAAAAAAACAAAACAAAACAAAACAACATCGTTTCAGGGGGTAAAGATGAGGAGCAAAGTGTCTTCCCAAGAATTTCAGTTACTTGATTGTATAGGACAGTAGTAGAACCCTTCTGAAGGGCTGAAAAACATAGTTTAAAGGCAAGTGCCTAGAATAGGGATTACAATATTGTGTCTTAATGCACTCTACTTTATCCTACATTAACTATATAAAAATTAGTTACTAACACTAGAACATGCAGAGACTTTCTCTGATCAGCAGGGCATGCCAACCAGAACGTATATATATGTATAGTATAGGAAACCTTCTTGAAGTTGCATGGGAAGCATAGGGGTGCTTCGCTGTCTGATAGAAAAATCACTTGCACTTTTTTTGTTGTTTTTTGTTTTGTGGTTTTTTTTTTTACATAAGATACAGGACATTGGGGGTGCAAACCTTTTTTTTTTCCCTAATAAGTACCCTTGATCTGAGTGGGTACCGGTATCAATATTTGTTTTATTATCATTATTATTATCATCATTATTATTTTCCCATAGCCCAGTTCAGGGATGCAAAGGTCTTTTAAAATTTCTGGACAATCTCTGGTACAATGAAGTGTCTGATAACTGATAAATCCTATGTTGCCAGATACATGTAAAATGTTTCAGAATTGGCATAAATCCATTATAGTGACTTCTAGCTTATAAAATTAACAGATACCATGATTTCATTTTAGTTATGTGCTTTGATAACAGAAAATAATTAATTAGCATTTAATGTAGTTAACATATTGTGGTAAAAGCACCATTAGATTTGTTTTTTTTTTTTTTAGATTTTCCTTCAGTTTTTAAAGGGATACAAGTTTAACAATAAAAAACATAAAAAGCAAAAATAGCTCCCCTTTTTCTTGCAAGGCTGTTTTTTACCCCAATAATTTAGAGTCCTGGGGTGGAAGGACTTGAAAAACAAAAATAGAATTTTCAACAATCTCTATCTTACAAAGATATTTAGCTATCCAATGAAATTGCACTTCACTCAATTCAAAATTCGATTGTTTTTGATTGATTCCTGTCAGTTTCTGTCAAAACAGACCATCTTCCCCATTTCCATGTGAATTTTTGTGTCATTGTTGAAATTGTTGAAAAAAAAATGTGTCGTCTTTTTTTTTTTGTTGATTTTTTTTTTTTTAAATGTAAGTGCAGCATTTCAAAACTTTTAAAAAACTGAATCGTAGTTAAGTAGTAGTTTGCCATTTCCGGAATCGTTCTGCATCGTGAGTGAATTCACTGTCTTGCGGGCCGTGTTATATAGATTGAGCTGCTGACTGCTGAACCAAACCAAAACTAAAAAGAGAAAGGAAAAAAGGAACATAACTGCGTTTTCATCTCCCAATGTGTGACAGAGAAACATTGCCCTCTGACTGCCCCGTCAGCTCTATATTGCAGATGTCAGCTACTACAAAAGATTTAGTTCTCCATGGGCCCCCCTGTGTGCTCACGGAGGCTCACACCTGTGTGGGTGAATTCATGGAATACTGTGAAACAGCCAGGCTCCGGAAGCCAAGTGTGTTCCCCTGGGAAGTCTGAGCAAGAGGGCACCTCGTCTTGCCACCTCTCCTCCTGCTTACACACGCCAACACTTCCCCTGCTCTGAAGCCCGGCCATTTCCAGCACCATATGAGAAAATTACAACAGTCCCTAAAGTAGTTTTCTTTTTTGTTTCTTAAAAAAAATCCCAAAAGGTTTTTATGGCCTTTGCTGTTGGACCATAATGCTCGCTGTTTCCGTGTACAAGTTGATTTGAATCGGCTTTCCTCCCCTTTCACTGACAGTGAAGTTGTAACCGCGCTTGGGTTGAGGATGCGTCCATGTTACAGAGTTGAGAAGGGGTCAGGTGGTCTGTCGGGTGGATGGTGGGACGCTGCGACTTTTATCCCAGGTACCAGGACTGGAAGACAAAACAAGGAAAAGGGCCGTGAGAGAGACAGTTTGCAACAACCTGGTTTTTGATGATGTCGCTCTTCCAAATGACATATCTGCCTCTGGCTGAGGAGCAAAGGGGGTGGGGGGGGGAGGTTTTTGCTGGGAAAAGGAGAGGCCAACAATGGTCAGATTCTTATTACATGGAAACTCACCAAATACCTTAAATGAAAATTCAGCACCTTTGTTGCAGTTTTCCAACATTCTAGGCCTGCCTTGCAAAAGAACTCATTATGTCCACTTACATACCCTGTAGGCATATGGGATATGTAGTCTGGTGGTGATGGTTGGAGAGTGACAGGAAGCTTGACAACCTTGACTATTGCTGCCTCGCTAGGGCTTGGCTTGCATAATCCCGGGAACCTGAGCAGGTACCCAAGAAAGAGCTGAGTGACTGGAGAGGGGGGTGGGAGATAGCGCAGAGGCAGGTGACTGTCCCCTCGGATGACCTGCACAAACCACAGGAGTGAACCGAGATTGGGGTGGGGCTCCTGTTGTTGGTGGGGGTGCTATGCCTTTTGGTTTGTTGGGTTTTGTGCTTCTCAGGAAGTCACAGGGTGGGGATGGTGCAGGGGCAAGGAGGTGAGGGGATGTCTCATCCAACCAAGGCTTTCAACCACTGAGTTTCATCACTAGTCTACAAATACCTCCCTCAACGAGCTGGAGGTACAGAAGATGCTACAGTGACTCTCTCCTCAGAAAGGTGAGGTGGTCTCCACTTAATGGAAGAACAAGTGGAGCTACCGTGGACAAAGCACTGTCCCTGGGGTCCTGGGTGATCTGGGGTGAGTCATGGCCACCCCCATAACTCTCCAGTTCCTTTCACGTGCCTAAGGGAGATCTGGAGAAGCACTTTGCCTCCGACAGCTCAAAACCTCTCAAACACTATTTTCAAAGAACGACAGAATCAAGTGCTATCAGCATTTCACCCTATGAGCTACCATGATGGCAGAGCCATCCTTCTGACTAACTAATGAAGCTCTCTGGGATTAACTTCCAAGAATTCTCTGAGATTTCCAGTGGAGCTAACTCAGAGGATTTCTTGTGTCCACGGGGCCTTGTTTCCAGAGACCCCTTTCCTTTCCTGATCCCATGGGTGGTCTGAGATTTCCAGCAGCCCTGGGGAGAGAGCTGGCAATACAATCACCATTCTAGTCCAGTATCCCAGAGGGCTTCTGCCAGTGGTCTTCTCCAGAGCTACCCTACCCAATCCACCCCTTCCATCACTATTCACAGAAAAACCCGTCAACCTCCAGACAAGGTGAACGTTTCTGAAGTCTGGATGGAAGGTCTCAGAAAGGGTTATACATCTGGGCTCACTGGTGTCCAGGAGATTCCATTAGGTAGTGGTCAAGCTCTGGCATGAGCGGGCAATAAAGGAAGTGATGGGTGCGTGGAGGCGAGGGCCAGATTTCCCACTCCCCAGAGCTCTCTAGGATTGGAGCAGAACAGCCCACACAGACTGCACCAAGTCATAGCCCATCCCATCTCCTTGCAGCTAATTCTCTGACCACCTGTTTGGGGATGCACAATCAGCCTCTTGTGTCTTGAAAGGCAATCATCCTGGCTCGTCCACCCGGCCTGAATCAAGCGGACACAAAAGGCAGACGCATTTGCAGAGCGGCAAACTCCAGACTGTATTTTTAGAACCTTTCCTCGCAGCTGACCCTGGCCCACGCTCCAGCCGGGTTCTGGCTCTCCCCAAACGGTCTCTGACTTTGGGAACGGCAGCGCAGGGCTTGCTATTGGGATGGAGGGTGGCGGAGGAGGGGGGGGATGTTGGGGGGGGTGGGGAGGGTAGGATGGTCTAAGGCAGTTGTGCAATTCCAGCCTCCGGAAATCCCACGCTGCCGACTCCTGGGTCCCGGCCGGCCGGCAGGGGGCGCAGTTCTCCGCACCGCCTTTTCTGGGCACCACCTCCGCGCGCTCCAGAAATCTGCAGTGCCTCTGTACTTCACTTAAAAAGCAAGGGGGGGGGGGGGGGGAGGGAAAAAAAGTTTCTTCACACATCTTACTATTCAGTGTGTGCCTTGCCGACAAGGTTACCCCAGAGCAGCTCTGTAATCCTTCACTGAAATAGGCTTTATTGATTGCTCTGGTCTATTGTTCTCTTTTCAAGTCCCCCAAGTTCAAGTTCATCCTGGTGTTACATCATGTCTGGTTGCTAAGAGCAACCAGACAGACCCAGACGTGACTATCATTAGCAAGAAACCCTCCGCTCTCCTCCCACCAACCTTCCAGGGGCTGTGACGTAGCAGCCCCACTGCAAACACATTGAAGTATTTATTCTGTCTAATTTATGACCTACACAGCAAGCAAGACCCCCACTCTCAAAACCAACACTGTTGTATATTTAATTAATCTGTCTTTCTCTGGCACTTGGGAAAGTTAGACAAAGGACTAATTATTGTGTTTCACTCTCCACACTTTTCTTTTACGGGGTGAATATTTGCATGGGAAAGAAAACTATAAGGCCCAGCATGAAGGGGGGGGGGTTGCTCCCCCCATACCCCACCCCCTTTTCTTTTTGCCCTATTGACATTTCATGAAATACTTTAGCTGCTTAAGGGAATTAGAAAAAAAAAGCGATGTGAATGTTACTCCTTCTGAGTTGGCATTCAGGAACACAAATCAACTCATGACATGTTTAAATTTAAATGCTAACCACACACTCTCAGAGTTACTTTAAAGGTTAGTTTTTAATCAATAGAAGTTGCTGACTCCGGGATTTTGAGCTGCGCACTGCAGCTCTTAGGCTTTTGTCTAACGTTAAAGCTTTCAAACTTTTTTTTTCCCCCTTGCGATGATTTTAGGAATGATTTGCACACACAGAAGGCTATTGTGCTCTGACCAGCAACATGCCAATAGAGGAGGGAGCTGCCCTGCAGAGGGGTGTCAATATGACTCTGAAGGCAGGGGGTGGGGGCTTTAATAACCCGTGAAAAAAACTTAATTAACCCTTTCAGGCCCAAACCAAAACCTATTCTTCAACTTTTTTACTCCCATAATGTGACCATTAGTACTTATTTCAACATCACACTAATCTTCATGACAATTAACCCAGCTACTTGACCAAGGCTTTCCAGAATGGGAAGTCAGTGGGTTAAGGGAACCACACAGGGAATTATAATAATAATAATAATAATTATTATTATTATTATTTTGTGTGGGGGAGTGCTTTGGGGAAACCACACTGCATTGCGTCAATCGTTACTTTCAGAAAAGGAAGATGAAGTTACTGCAATAATGATGATGATACAAAAATAAAAAACAACAACAAAAACAACCCACGCCTTATGCATGGCAGCAAGTTCTCTCATCAGTTTGCAGCTGACAGTGTGCACGGGGCCTCTGGGATAAGCATAAGAGTCGCACGCACGTGGAAAAGCGGTTCACTAGCTCAGAACTTCTGTGAGCTACTACCAACATCCCGCGAACACTGTTTGGAAAAGCCCCTTTGCTCTGTATCTTGGTCTGACATCTCTTATGCAAGCAGTTCAAGCTTCAAAGCATCGCTTGAAGAAGGACCCCAAGCACATTCTTCTGAGCCACACACACACACACACACACACACACACACACACACACACACGCAAAATCAGAGACCATTCAATTGTGGGACTAAGGAGAAAATCACCAGAGAAAACGTAGCTACATGGAACACAGTTCATTTAGGCAGAGTCAAAACTATGGTCTACTACGGGCATTTGCTGATCTTCACTTCTGCCTTCATACTTTATAGCCCCCTCATTTAACCTACTGGATCCAGATAGACTACAAAGGAATCTCTGTCCCTTATCTGCACTGAGTCCCAATATTACAATACAATATGGGACGATGTTATCTTGATGCATTTACATTGAGGAAGTAAACACTGAGCTTTGATCTATTTTTTTCCCCTCAGGAACTTTCAGCTACAGTTGTTTTGGAAGTTCATAAATCCACACTCCCACAAAGGCCCTAGTTAAGCAAAATTACTCTGTTGCATTCACAATTTCTCCAGTTGGGGATGTGCTGGGGGCTTGGGGAGGGGGTAGGGAGGGCGGGTAATTGTCCTCTTTCAGTGTTCAAGGTGAAACATCAAAAGAAATCTGCAGTCCAGGACCAGAGCTCAGCTTTCCTTTTCTCCAGTCAAATGAAGAAGTAATCTCATCAGGTTGGAAAGTGCTGACTAAGGATTTAATAAAGTGCCTGCAGATGTGGCGTCTCTAAGGTATTCAACTCATGTAATGCAAAACAGCTCCACACTGAATGTGCTTATAAAATTTCATTTAACCATTGCAGCGCGACGGCTCCCCTCCATCTCACCCCCCCCCCCACACCCAACCCTGTTCTCGAAGGAGTTTTATCACACTTCCTGCTCCTTAATTTACAGCTCCATGAAAGTTCGAATCCCATTCTGCCCGGATTCTGGAATACAGTAGTCAGGTTTTATGAACCATAAACAATATCTATCCGGCGGTATCCTAAACAGGAAGTCTGCGATGGCAGCACCACCGTTGACAATGTCAGTCTCTTTCCTTTCTTGGGCCGCTTCGAGGGTGATTAGGAAACTGAGGCTGTTTTCCAATTTGGGTCATGAAGTTGGTAAAGAGACAGTGAATGAAGCCTCGGATCTTTAATTGTTAACGAGTCACCTTCTTCTGCCTGCTGATCACTTGACAAAGTCCTTTCACATACTCTTCACTAAGGGACAGGATGTATATCTTAGCAGTCAAAGGAAATACAAGTCTGCCTGAGATAGCTGGATTTTACTTTAATCAGAGAGAGAGAGACAAAGAGATTGAGAGAGACAAAGAGATCGAGAGAGACAAAAAGATGGAGAGAGACAGAGAGAGAGAGAGAAAGAGAGAGAGAGAGAGAGAGCGCTGGGGGTAGGGGGTTGGGGCTAGATGGGGAGGGAGAACAGACTGTGACGCACCAGAATCTGTTTTTCAAATTAAAAAGTTAAACAAAAGGCCTCAAGGG